AGAACTTCTCACTTTGCTATGTTGCCTTTTGGAGACAAGACAAGGTACTTCCTTCAGCATCCCCCTTTCCCACTTTCCCCAGGGGTGCGGTGGGGGCCGGGTGCTGATTGGTAGCGCCCGCGTCACACCGACGGAGCAATGCTTCATTGAAAATAGACTCTATGTTATTTTTGTTTTCCTTTCCTCTTGCGGATGTATTGCTTTGAAGTCTTACATAGGACTCTTTAACTCTGTTTCTCCTATCGAGCGTTCAGAGTTGGTGTTGATTTGATCACTTTCGGGGGGAGGGTTAACCGAGACGATGGGTTCGGGACAAATCTTATCTCTTCTGTTTAATTATTTCGCCTTCCTTTTAAAATCCTCTTCCCCGCTTTCGCCTTCCGTTAAAATACTAAATCTGGAGCCACCAGAGGATAAACCCTGAATGGAAAGTGGTTTCTTTTCAAAGGGTACTTTTCAGCGAGTTTATGGGGAGGCACTAAGACCATCTAAGTCTGGAATTATCGATTGCTGGGGACCAACAGTTTTTTAGAGGTTACCTCCTCCGAGGCCATCAGTCCCCAGTTTCCTTTCACTCTTTCACAATTCCACCCTTCTGCCCTTATTGAATTATAGCGCATAGAATGGGGAGTGGGCAGGGGAACTGGGCTGATTTTTTTAAGTGTGGGGGATGTTCCTTAGGCAGATTATTAAGAAAGAACAAAATTATTTGTTTTAAAATAAAATTAGGATAAATGTCCTTTTTCTTTTTTCTCCCCCCTCCCTTTGAAGACATAAATTTGAGATCGGCGGTAGTTTTTAACTCACATAAAAACATTTCACTTTCAGAGCCTGCCAAAACTTTAAATATAACTTTTTTCTGAAAATAAATTGAAATAGTTAAGTTACATTTCTTTTCACATTATTTTTTCTTCCAAATAGAATAGGATTAAAATCCCAATTTTCAAAATTACGCTGCTTAGTGTAAAATTTAGATCAGCTGAGACTCTATTAAAGGCTTTTTCTTCACTTAGGGTTTTTATGTTATAGTTAATGTTGACAATAGGCCGAATGCTTTCTATGATATATATGTGTGTTTCTGAAGAGTTTATGTTGCGTACAAGTTGGAAAATGAAAGTGTAAGATATTCAAGAGTTGTGCAGGCCCTCAATTTTAGAAGGTATAAAGTAATGAAAGTTGTCAGTATAAAGAATATAATCTAAGGCTTGTGTGCAGCCAGAGGTTTCTTCAAGAAACAATATTGCAGTTTGAGCTTATATTTGGTGGCATTAACTGGAGACTTAAAATAAGAATGAGAAATTGGACATTAGTTGATTATAAAAACGTGAAACTGCTAAACCCAGTGTGATTCACATGATTGTGGTAAACTTATTGCATACACTTTAGCTTTACAGCTGAGTTTTGTTTTGTTTTGTTTTTAACAAGAAACTGGCATTACTTTGCTTTTTTCTCTTTTGTTGTATTTTGTATGTGTAAAATGAATACTGCATGTGATTCAGAAAGCCCATGAAACAGAATATTTGTGTAGAGGCATTTGGCATGTTTTAAGATTTAAAATAAATTTGAATTCACTTAGACTGGCCATCTGTGCCTATGAACAGGCTCATTGATAGAACCATTTCTACATTATTTGATTTAATTATTGTTTAATATTCATGCACGCTTCTCTATCCCTATCTCCAGACTGAATCATATGCACTCAGTAGTCATTGAATGGAAGGAAAGTTCTGGCATTCCTAAACTTTCATTTAAACACCTGTGAATTTTGATTGGCCTTAAAGCAATTATTACCACTATGTTACATTGTTTGCACATTGTTTCCAAAATTACCTTCAAAGACAGAGCTAAGCACCTACCTAAAAGCTATAGTGTGAAGCACAAAAATAGGTGCTTTTCAGCAATCACAACCTGTTTAAGTAAATTTGAGTGTCAGTTGAACAATTCATTGCATAAGCAATTGGCATATAAATCAGTTTGAGGCTGGAAACTACAACCTATGGAAAACTCCCACCCTTGCCATTGTAGAAAATTTTGCAGTCCTCAGGCTTGAGATGCTGTATTCATTAAGGGCTTTAATGCTCAAGCATTCAGAGATGAAGCCTTTCTCTTGCTGATGCCACTTTAACATCTGTTGTTATTCTTGACATCTTATTAGAATAATTTCCCTTTCATTAGTTTCTAATCAGCTTTGTGATTATGGGCAATGTTTTAGATCATTTAGTATTATAGGGGTAATATGATTGACTTTGTTGCTTTTGTTTTGTACTAGGCAAAAGCTTGAGAATATTTGGCATATACTGGAAATAGGAGATAGTAAGTGAGGACAGCTTTTTATGACTGCTTGGGTCAAAGTCCAGAAACAGAAGTTTTACACTCCCATGTAGTTTTTCTATGATAGACTTTTTATTTGACACTGCAAAGCTGTAGTGAATTAGTTGATGTTCCGGGTCATGTGTTTGGGATTCTTTCTTTCTTTTTTTTTTCCCCATAGTTTTTTTCTCATCTCTAAAAGCTGTAATGTTTTTATTTGCAAGATATTTATCTTCAAATCAGATGATGGGTGTAAAATAAATATTGCTATTCAGTCTTAAAATTTTTTGGTCATCATATAGGAATATAAACTTTTCACAGTTTTCAGACAAAAGGTTTGTTAAGCATATTTTGTTAAGTAGTCGCTAGTGTTGAAGGTAATAAAACCCTGTGGGTATTGGCTCAGTCTGACTTTGATACTATTTCTAATATTTTTATTATGGTAATTCTGGTGCAATAATGTCCTTTTATCCTTGTATTACGTATAATCAGGGTTTATATAGCTAGTTCTAAGGTAACTTTTTTAGTGCCCTAGAAGTGCTCATGTGGATTGAATTTGGATAGGATTGAATCTGGAAAAATCCACAGGAGTCTCTGAAATGATGTTTCTCATTGCTCATCTGTCACTAGTGTTCTCAAAGTTTTGTATTCAGATCCAGTTCA